CATAAATGTACATTAGCGTGACATCTGGAGGCTTTGATCCTCTGGGAATCAAACCAGCAACCCTCACGTGGTCACGTGTTCACTGCATGACTCCGTCACTCAGCTGAAACCTTCATCAGCATCAGATGCACTGTAAAACATTACACGTTAATGCAAAAGGTTAAACAGGCCAACTTTCTTATGACTCAGAAATCAAGAAATAAGTTAACATTTATCTTCATATGTGGAATTAAATGTGTACTTTTAATTATAAAACTAATTTAATATTTTAAATATTTTATATTGTCATGTAGAATGCAATTTTTTTATTTAGTCTTTTTTGTAAGAAATTTGACTTTAATTTCATAATTCAGTTTTTTTTGCTTGTTTCGCTTGTTTATATATATATATATATATATATATATATATATATATATATATATATATATATATATATATATATATATATATATATATAAAACAGCAGGGTGCAAGATACTGGCAGGGAAAGCGTACATGGAGCGACATAACCAAGTGGCAGGCATAGTGTACAGAAAACATCTGTGCAGAATATGGACTGGAAACCCCAAGATCAAAGTGGGAAACACCCCCAAAGGTGGTGGAGAACGCCAGAGCTAAGATCCTGTGGGACTTCCAGATCCAGACAGACAAAATGGTAATGGCGAACCAACCAGACATTGTCGTAGTGGATAAACAACAGAGGAAAGCCGTTGTGGTAGATGTAGCAATACCAAGTGATTGCAACATCAGGAAAAAGGAGAAACTGGAAAAATACCAGGGCCTCAGGGAGGAACTGGAGAGGGCCTGGAAGGTGAAGACCACAGTGGTGCCTGTGGTCATCGGGGCCCTCGGGGCAGTAACCCCAAACTGGAGCAGTGGCTACAACAGATCCCAGGAACAACATCAGACATCTCAGTCCAGAAATGTGCAGTCCTTGGCACAGCCAAGATACTGCGCAGAACCCTCAAGCTCCCAGGCCTCTGGTAGAGGACCCGAGCTCAGAGGATAAGAACCACCCGCGGTGGGTGAGAAGGGAATTAATTAAAATTTTATATATATATATATATATATATATATATATATATATATATATATATATATATATATATATATATATATATATATATATATAATGTATCTGAGTATATAGTGAGTATATAGTGTTTGGTTGTTTTCACACGACCTGCTTTAATCCAACTCCAGTCCGTTTGCCTAGAAAGTCCAGTTTGTTGGCGATGTGAATGCAGTGCTAACTCTGAAGTGAACTCTGGTGCAGTTTGAATGGATTTATGAACAGAGACCGCTCCAAAGGCTAGAGGTGGACTACAGCGCAGGGCATTCTGGGTAAATACAACCAAAACAAACATGCCAGGTTAGCGCTAGCGGGAGAAATGGTCTCCAGCGAAAAGGAAGAGAAATCCTACAACCACTAAAATCTCCATTTTTGTTCACATTTTGTGAAGGAAGTTGTGCTCAGCGTTTCCTTCAGCAGATCCTGTTGCAGCGCCCCCACAGGCCAGGAGGGGAACAGGTTGCTGAAAGGTTTACAGTGTGAAAATAAACCGCAGCAGCTGAAAATGTAATAAATGTTGCACTGAGTGTGATCTGATCAAACAACTGGACTTTACTGAAATGAACTGGACTTGTTTCAATGGACTATGGAAACAGTTGAACTGGATAGAAACCAGACATCTGTGTCTTGTGAAAACACAAAGGTCTGAGAAATGTTCTGTGAACGGTCCAGTTCAGGTCTGGTTCAGGGTCCGGTTCAGGTCTGGTTCAGGTCCAGTTCAGGTCCAGTTCAGGTCCGGTTCAGGTCTGGTTCAGGTCTGGTTCAGGGTCCAGTTCAGGTCCAGTTCAGGTCTGGTTCAGGTCTGGTTCAGGGTCCAGTTCAGGTCCAGTTCAGGTCTGGTTCAGGTCTGGTTCAGGGTCCAGTTCAGGTCCAGTTCAGGTCTGGTTCAGGTCCAGATGTGAGCGCGCTCAGTGGCTGTCAGGGCAGCCGCAGCTACAGGATTAAAACCTGCAGACATGAAATCTTTCGGACTTTGAAGTTTATTTCAGTCGCAGCATCACGCCCTGCCGTCTCCATGGCAAAAGCTGTAAAGCTGCTGCTGGTCGTAAATCAAATGTTTTCCAGATCAATTGTTTCTACTAACTTTGCTCTCTGATCAATTTATCGGTAAAATAACTCATATAATCATGTCAAGGTTGTAACATTCAGCAGGTCCCAGGATTTTGGTAATATTTACTTCCATAATAACTTTTGGCAAATAATAAATAAATATTTTGAAACTTCTGTGATTTATTGTTGATGATGAGAGAAATAAACACAGTTAAAGAGTTGCTGGTAAATTCATTTGTTCCCATTTTATGCAGGGGGAACAGATTATTTCCATTCTCTCCTCCCCTCATAACCTCGGGAAATAAAGAGCATTTGTTTCCAAATTCTCAAAAAATGTTATGTAATAGCATGTAGTATATTAGAAATATCCTTAATCCAGTAATCTGACATATTTTACATTAAAACAGGATTTACCAGAAAGTTTACTCCCTCGTCTTTACAGGAATCTTCATTTTTATGTCTTACTATATCAGCAATGAGAAATGAGAAATACAATCAACCTGTCGGAAAACTGTTTGGTGACTGACTTTTATTTCTGTCAGGCTTAAGAGACAAAAGTTGGAAACAAACCAGATTATCTTGTCGTTTCAAATAACAACACAAAACCTCGTTTGTTTATTTATTTGACAGTTTTGTTATTGATTCTTTTCAAACAACAGCTGCCGATTAAACTGAAAGTTAAAACCTCGACTTGATTGTATGTTCACGGCTGCAATACGAACTCCAGACACAAGGGGGCAGAATCTCTTTGTTTACGGTGAAACATCAAACTTCCGAGCTGCCCTGAACGCAACACCCTCCACGTTTTCTCTGACGTCAGCTGTGAGGGGGCGTGGACTTCCTGGTTGGAATTTTACTTTTCTTGTCAACAAAACCTGTGACGAAGTTTCGGCAGTTAAAGCGACGCGTTTACGAGGGAAAGTTCGGTTCTGTTCCGGTACCGGTTCCAGGATCCGAACCGTTTTTCCCCTCCGGTGTGGATCTCGTCTCGGATGTGAAGATGAGTCTCTGGAGAGTTTCCTTGGTGGTGATCGTGGCCGCATGTTGGCTGCTGGTTCTGTCCTCTGGCCAGAACCCCACCAGCCCCACCAGAACCACCGGGACCACCGGAACCGCCAGCAACGCCCAGCCCCCCGTGACCAACTCCAGCCGGCCGAACAGCACGCTGAGCGGCGGCGGAAGCTCCAGGCCGGACGGGGTGCAGCTCCATGATCCATGGAAGGCGGACGCCTCCATGATCAAGCGGGCCCTGTACGTCCTGATCGGCATCACCATCATCGCAGTCCTGTACTTCCTGATCCGGGCCGTGCGGTGAGAACCACGCAAACCCGCATCTGTCACGCAGTTTGGTTCACAACAAAAACTCACTGAGTTTCAACAAAAAGCTTAAAAATGACGAGTTTTAAATCAAACAGCAGCAGAAAAATGATTCACTTTACAAACTCAGTAATGATCACAAATTGGTCATTAAAACTCATAAAACATTTCAGAACAATTTACTGACCCGCAGCAACAATAATAACAAATCAAATAACTGGAGCGACTGTCAACTCCTCTTATCATGACGTCACACAGAGGAGGAAGTACTTCGTTATTATTGGCATTAATATGACAAAAACATAACTAATCACTTCTTTGTTGCTCTGGAGTTTCTATGCTGATGATTTTTTGTAAATCTCTTAAATTGGTATAAAATGCAGCAGCATTTCCCTCCGGCTGCAGCACTGACTCAGCCAGGAGACCCAAACGCTGACTCAGCCAGGAGACCCAAACGCTGACTCAGCCAGGAGGATCCATGTCTGGCTTATGACCTCGTTTTATCTTCTAACTGGTTCTATTGATGCCGTGTCCAGACAGAGGGACAATCAATGGGCCGGTTTGCAGCTTCCTCTGGCCGCAGTGGATCCAGTTTCACAGCAGACAGACGCTCCACTCTGGAGGAGCTGCGCAGCTCCGCTAAATCTTTACAGTCACCTGACCGTACCCGCCTACTTTCACCCCTGGTCATATAATATACTTCATAATTTATGTCCAACAAATTAAACTAACTAATTATGATAATAATGGCAGTGAAATGACAATAATAATCTGTTAATAATAGTAATGAAACAACAGACAGAAGGGAGAAACTCATTATTATACATATTTGTGTTAATTCCCTTCTTCCCTTTATAATGTGAGTGAGATACTTTTGTGTTATGGTGGTTGAAGTTTTGACATTGTTGTAGCTCCATATTCAATCTTTTTCATTGTTTGACTCCTGTTGGTTTTTCTTCACTTTTTTCCTCAAAAACAAAACAGAACTAAAGTCACAGAAAATACTTTCAAATGTTACAAGATAAAATATGCAACAAGAATTTAGTTTAATGAGAAAATAGACATTAAAGAGGAAGAGAAAAAACATAGTTTGCAATTAATGTAACAATCAATAAATTATGATTAATCACTGTTAAACACAATTAATTGCTTCAGCCAAAAAAGAAAAATGCAAATTCCCAATAAAGCGTTTTTTTAATAGAAATAATAATAACTGATATTCAATAACAATTTTTTTGTGTGCGATGAATTTCTGAGTCAAGATGATTTTTCTGACAGGAGACGTTTAATAAACAAACCAGATTTTCTCCTTAATAACATGAAATACTGACACTATGTACGGAGAGCCGTTGGTGCTAAAAGTCTTCCTTCAGCTGCTGAACTTCGTTTTTCACAGAGTTTCCAATAAGAACAGAAATGAATATTCATCAAATCTGAACACAGAACAGCTGATCGACGTTTTAAAGTCACAATGTCGGAAACGTTCTTATTTTTACGATGATTTTGATATTAAAACTAATCAATTATTCAGTCCATTAATTGATTATTTGAACTATTAATCGATTAATCGTACAAAGAAATTGTCACCATCTGCAGTTTTAAGCCTTTTATAGAAAAAACCTTTATATAATAAATATCAACAAACAATGAAATCTTTTTTTAAATAAGAACATTATTGATTATTGAATATTTTAGTGTGCACTTGTTGATTAATTGAATCATTTTTACATTTACTGGTTAATAATTGCACAGCAAATATTCTGCTGTTTTTTATTTCTACAGAATTTGAACTGGATGAAGATGAAACATCCAACATGTTTACAAACTAAATTTGATTTAGTTTGAGTTTTTTCAGCAGTCGATTAATCGTGATTAATCTTCTCATCCCTCATTGTGAGGGAGAGCGAGGCTTTCACCAGAGAACAGGAAGGCTGAATGTTTTTTCCGTTTTGAACTTTCCGTGTCGTTCGGATCAGAAACCAGAACTCCAACGTCCCACACACAATTCTGAACTTTTTGGCAAAATCTAGTCCAGCTTTGATTTGACTTTTCCTCCATTGTTGATCGTTCTGTCAGTTTGTCTGACCATCTGTTCACCTTTCAGTTTCTGTTTCAAATGTTAGAAAGAAAATCACAAAACCACCTGATCAGATGATCAATAAACGATTATTAGCAGTAAAATGATGAGGAAATATAATTTGTCATGTAGATCAGTGAGGAAATTCAGACGTTTAGATGGAAATAAGAAAAAAAACAAATTTCAAACATTTTCTAAACAAAACATGGAAATTTCAGAGTTTCAAATCTCTGACCTTTGACCCTGCCAGCCTGAAGAAGCCGGCCCAGAGGAAGAAGTACGGCCTGCTGTCCAACTACGACGACTCGGTGGAGATGGAGGCGGTGGACAGCGACGGCGACGACACCCTGTACGAAGCCCGCAGCCTGCGCAGGTCAGAGGTCAACACAGGTCAACACAGGTCAACACAGGTCACCGGCAGAAAACATGAAGCGTTTTCTGCTGATGGTCACGATAATAATCATTATTATTCTGAAAGTCAGTGAAGTTAGCGCTGTTAGCAGCATGTCTCTCATTTCCGGCTAGCGTTAGCTTTAGCGTTAGCTGAAGGTCTAAACAACAAAAAAACACATTTTTATATCAATTTGGTTGATTTTCTGTCACAAGATGTTATTTATCGACGTTTCATGTTTTTCCCTCTAAATTCTTTAATAAAGATGGAAAAACTAAATAAATGCTAAACAGAGATTCATGAAGTTATTTGATGATCTTGTAAACGATGCGACATGTTTGAAATATTTCCGTAGCGACTGAGAGGCAGACGGACGACCCCTGAAAAACTTTCTGCATTTTTCCTCTGGATCGATTAAAGTCGATTCTTCTTTTCTCTATCATGTGCCACTGATTCGTCTTCCAGGGGAAAATGGATGAATAAATATATTCTTGTTCTGATACTTTTCTGGAGATTAAAAGCTGTTGGTGTTTCCAGCTGACTGGTCAGAAAACCTGAAGGAGTCGTATCAGTGGAGCTGCTGACCTTTGCCCTCAGGTTGATCAGGTCTTATCTGTTGTCCAGATGAGTTCTGCTGCGCCGGGTCGGACAGATCGGAGCCGCCGCCGCCTGACCGTGTTGATCCAGGACGAACTGGAAGAGGACCAAAAAGCTGCTCAGAGAAGCAGAGCAGGATAATCAATATTTGATCAATATGTTCGGAGCGCTGCTTCCTGGAGCGAGTGGACGCTTTTCCTCCTAAGGCCAAATGTTTTTCTTCTTCTCTGGATTTTCGTTTAGATTATTCCGGATTCCCTGTGTTGTTGGTTTTGCTTTGATTTTGTGCTTTAACTACTGGGAGCTGCCTGCAGGGAGGCGGAGGGCCAGCAGGGGGCAGCAGCGATCTGCCCTGCTGGTAGACTTTAACCCTCCTCCCTGCTGCAATAAACACACAGTGTTTGGAAAACTGCTTGTATTGATTCTAACGATCTAATTTGGAATAAAATAACAATAACTTCTTGGATTTGACATATTTCTACTTTTACTTTTGTTTCCTTTGGGATTGTAATAAAATTTTCTTCTTGTTTTTCATCTTATTCTGTTCATTTTTAATTTTACATTTGTTACTAACAAACATGTTAAAACAAAATGGAAAACTTTCCAGAAATAGAGGAAAAAACACACAAACTCAGGTGATTTTTAAATTTGCAAGAAACTTTAATGTAAAATATAAACTTGCTCTCAAAACGTAAACGACACTTAAATGTAAAAACTAATTAATTTCTATTTTTATATATATATCACCACAGGTTTTAAGTAACTTAAATAATAGTTATTGGATGTACATATTGTCATTATTAAAATAAAATTGGACACAAATATTCATAAAATATATTTAAAGTATAAAACAATGTTTGTAAAAGCAGCAGCTGTTTGTTTGGAAACATTTTTAATAAACATATTTCAGTCTTTGAGTATTAAAATCACAAAAAGTCTGTTTTGTCTTTGTTTTATTTATTTTGGAAATTTTGAAAGATCCTAAAATCTGCTGACGTCATTGATGGAGTTTATGGTCGGTGATGTAATTGCGCCACATTTCCAGCAGGTGTCGCCAGAGCTCCAACTGAAACTGCAGAAAAATCAAATGTTTTAAAAACGTAAAAACAAAATATTTAAACATTAATAGATGCAGTTGCAGCTTTTTGGGTTTTTTTTTATCATTTTCAGTTTTTTTGTAAACTTTTTAATTTTTTTCTGTAAAATGCAATTAGTTAAAAAATTCACAAATAAAAATGGAGTTTAAATGAAAGTTTTAAAATGTTGAATGTTTTTATAAACCATTCTTTCAGAGTTATAAAATTATTTTACATTTCATTTCTACATGTTTTCTAATTTTGAATAGTAAAACTGGTAACATTTAATAATATATAACTAACAAGTAGATTTAAAAAAAATCACATTGATGAGTAAAATCCTGCAAATGTGACAAACTGCAGTGAAATCATTCAGTAAATAAAAGTTTAACATTTTTACTCATTGCTGCAAATTTTACTTGCAGAGAAAGTTGAACATTTTTTAATATTTTATATTGTGTTTAAAAGTGTTTTTTATTTATAGTTTTCATTTATTAGATTTTTAAAATTATTTTGAATTGGTAAAATGTTATAAAGAAAAACTTTTTTTTTTTTGCTTTTTTAAAAAGTGCAAGCAGTTTAAAACTTCAGAAAATAAAAATGAATCAAATGTTTGATACATTTAAGTAAAAATATATGGTTGTGTTGTAAAAGTTAAAAATCTATATTTTTCAGGAAACTACAAGCAATTATTTTGTATTTCAGATTTCCGTTGTTAGATTTTTAAATGAGTAAAATCTGATATTTTATTTTGTTTTTTCTTAAAGTGCAAGTTAAAAGTAATCGACTTTTTAACTTTATTATCAACAAATCAAACTGAGTCTGTAAACCTGCAGTGCTCTGTGATCATCAGCATGTTGTTGACGTTGGCGGCCATGTTGCTGAGGTCAGATAGTGTTCAGTTGGCAGAACCTGAGGAAGGTGATCATTTCCACATGAATGCATCCATTTGTCACCATGACTGGATGCTGCGGTGTGAGAGGCAGCAAAGTGTTTTCCCACAGTGAGGAACACACTCACACACACACACACACACACACACACACACACACACACACACACACACACACACACACACACACACACACACCCTGTAACTAGCTGCTGATGAGTGGGCGTGTCGATGGCGGCTGATAAACATCTGAGGCGACGCAGAGAGACGATAAGGAGACGAAGGATCCCAGAGGAGCTGCTGGGCGTCTCAGTCTCTGTGACAGGAAAGTAAGTACAACCAGGATCCAGCAGCTGGATGAAGGAATGACTTTAATTCATATTTGTCACAATAATTTCCTGGATTGATAGTTTTACCATTTTGTTTTATGAAACGTCAATAAATTTCAAAATAATGGAAAAAATTATTTTTAGTTTTTTTTTACTTTTGGAGAAAAAAATACTTTTAGGAGTATTTTAGTGTACTTTATGTCTTACTTGTTGTACAGTAACTTTATTATGACGTATTTGTTACTGGGTGCTCGACCCCGGGGGTTCAACATGAGGCCCGAGGGCCATTTGTGGCTCATGAAAGCATTTTGATCGGCCCCCAAACCAACGAAAACAACTGATGAATTTTCTGTTCCTCTTTTCATGAGAAAAACCTCAAAGCCGATTTTATGTTTGTATTTTTAAGGATTTATAGAATTTATAAAAATGTTTATTATTGAGCAGGTAAAACAAAACAAAGCAAAAAAAAAATCACAATGAACTAATTTTGTATCTTTAATTTAACAAAATGTGTGGTTTGAACTTTAATTTTCCAGTTTTGTTTTCGGAAACAAAAAGTTGCAGTTATAATTAAAGTTTCATAAATCTTACATTGAAAGAAATAAGTTTAATATTTTGTAATTGTCATTCATGTCAATTAAAATGCAGAATAATTGTCAGAACTTTGTGTTTTGGTCCATCTCCTGATGTAAATCTATAATATTAAATGATTATTGATTATTGATCAATCAGAACTTTGTTCTAAATACTTTTTCACTCTTACTGGTGTAATTGTACTTTTATTTGAAGAAAAGTTTGAAGTAGTTCTACTTTTACTTGCCTCCTGATTTTGACATGTTTTGCGTTAAAAACAGAACCCTGCTGTCCCTGAACGCATCACAAACAGTAAATCTGGTCAGTCGGGACTCTAGTTGGACTATAGTGAAGCAGGAGCCCGGCTGGAGGTGGGAACCGCGGCGCAGCGACCATCACACCGACCCGCTCTGCCCTCCGCTAATTGGATCCGCCCCTCCGCTCCTCTGGGCCGTCAGTGACCTCCCTCTGTCCAGCCCTCTGATTGGCTGAGATGCTTATCAGCTGTAGCGCCATCATCCTTTCACTTGACCTTTTCCTCTTTATTACAGATTAAAAAACGGAGGAAGATCAAAAATTTCAGGCTGTTTTAAAATGATTCAAAACATTCCTGAACGGTTTTGTTTTTGAGGTTTGTTTGTTTGTTTGTTTGTTTGTTTGTTTTGTTTGTTTGTTTGTCTCAGATATGGACACACTGCATAACAAGGACGATTAAGCTAAAATGAAAACATTAATGTAAAATTCAGCTTTTCAACATCATATTGTTCGTTTTATGCACTAATACATAAATGCACATCTTGTAATATTTGTATTTTAATTATCCCATTCTGCTGTAGCCTTCTTTTAATCTGACTATATTTTTGGTTAATAATTTATATATAATTTTGTAATTATGCCTTTATTCTTATTTTTCTCAGAAATTGGTTTTCTTGCTCCATTTCTCTTTAACGCCAGTAACTTCCTCCTGCTGAACAGTGACAGATATTTATTCTCTATTAATCATAGGCATCGTTCCTTTAAAATAAGTAAAATAAAACCAGAATTATTTATTTTTGTTACATGAAAAGCAGATTAAACAGTTACTACATTGGAAAGCATCACTTATTTAATTTCATGTTTTTATTTGTGTTCATAGAAAAAGATCAAAAGCATCAAATCTTAACAGATTTTTCTAACAATAAAAATGAAAAACATGTTTTATACAGAAATTAAAAGTTAAAAAACAGAAAAAGTTCATTTAAAATGAAAGAATTTCACATCCTGAACATGAAAACTCATTTTCTACTGAAACAACAAAGACACTGTAAAAACACAAAATGTTTTTGGTTCCTAATGAAAATATCTCACTAACTTCAAATCAATTTACGAATCACTTTTCAGCCAGAAGTTATTGGTGTTGAAATAAATTCTGATTGTTGACCAAACACTTCAAGTTACTTTCACATTATTTCAGTTAAAACATTTTTCCAATATTATAAATGAAATAATCTACCTGCAGATTCCTTATATTTAACTAATATAAGGAATTATTTACTTTAAAAATCTCATATCTTCCTGAAGTAATTTAGTTTCAGTGACCTTTGAACCAGAAACTAGATAAAAACCACTTGGTTCTATTTTGTGTTTTTGCAGTGTAGATGTGAATGTCACATGGCGTCACTTCTTAAGTTTCTCTGAAACAAAAGGTTGATGATGATGATGATGATGATCGTCATCTTCATCATTTTTAGCCTAACAATCTATAAACTTCGTTGCGTTTCTGTTGACGACGCTGTTACACAATTTCATGTTTGCTGAATAAATTCACTTAAATCAAACTAGACAAAACTCACATTTTGTAGTTTTTTTTTCGTATTAAAATTGTTTCATTTCACAAAACAACGACAGAAACACTGATTCTGGGTCACATGACTAACAACAGGAAGTTACTACTGGAGGAAACGACAAAGGCGACAGGAAGTGGACGGTGGCGCAGCTTCCTGTGTGAACTGACTCACCATGTGATTTTAATTGTGTTCCTTATTTCCACTGGAATTTTAAAATTGTGTTATTTCGACATTAGCGAAATGTTGCTAATGTTGAAATGTTATTCTTCCTACTTTGTGGAAAATCAACAAAGTTTTATGTTCATTTCAAATGGAAATGCAGTTTTTGACATTGATATCCGCACCGAGCCAAAAGTCTTTAACATAGAAGCCAAACACCAGAACTGGTTTCCAGTTCAGCTTCCAGTCTGGGCGGGGTCTGGCCGTCGGCGGGCTCTGATTGGCTGCTCAGCTGCACCTGGTAGCGGTGCAGGTAGCGCTGCTGCTCCAACACGCCGTCCTCTGAGCTCCGGGCCCAGCGGGGCGAAGACGCCCCCTGCAGGCCGCCGCCATCCTGGTCCACCAGCAGCCGGTCCAGGAAGTGGATGTAGCGCAGCGCGTGGCGCAGGATGTCGTTCTTGCTCAGCTTCCTGTCGGGGGGGTGAGTGGGGATGAGGCGCCGCAGCTCGGCGAACGCCCCGTTGACGCTCTGCTGCCGCCGGCGTTCCCGGATGTTGGTGAAGACCCGATGAATGCCCAGAGGTCGCGACCCTGAGGGTCAGAAAACAAACTGAGACAATGTACACACTTAATCAAAATACAAACATTTAATCAAAATATTAACATTTAATCAAAATATAAACATTTAATCAAAATATAAACATTTAATCAAAATATAAACATTTAATTAGGCTGAAATGATTAATTGATGACTGAAGTAATCATCAGTTAGTTTATCAATAACTGGAGTAAACTGACTCCAAAAGCCCAAACGTTTATGAAACATGAAAGTTTTCTAATTATGAAGAGATTCCACAGTAAATGACACGTTTAAGTTTTTAATGGATAAAAATACTTTTCTACTAAAATTTAAGAAGCAAGAAAACCTTCAAATAGCCAAAATATGGAGAGCAGGACAATAATAATAATAATAATAATAATAATAATAATAATAATAATAATAATAATAATAATATGTTCTTTGTTTCTGATTAACTGTTTCGTTTTCAAGCTAAGTTTCATCTTAAAGAACAGATAAAATAAACGGATGTCCGTGAACGCACCACCACTGGTTCCCGTCTCATCCGGACTTCCGCTCCGCTGCAGCGGGACGCAGCAAACTCTGCAGAATAAGAACATCTATCAATGTGAACCATGATAAAGGAAATGCTACAATAACCAAAGCAGAAACTGAAAGTCGCTTCAGAGACTTTATTTCCAGACAGGAAGTTGTTTTTAATGTTTTATGATTTTCATTCTCACCTGGTCTCGCGCAGCATTTCTGTCTCTGGAGGATCTGCAGACAGTCCGGCTTCATCTGAAGCTCCGCTTCGTCTCTGCGTGTTTTTATGCAGCCCGTGGCCCCCCGCGTGGCCCCCCCGCGTGGCCCCCCTGGGGGCCTGGCGTCGTTTCCACGCCGGTACTGGCGGCTTCATTGGATCTCAGACCCCCCCCCCCTCCTCTCCTCCCGCTGGCCGGAAGCAGCACCCCTGGGACCTGCAGCCCTCCTTATTGCTCCCCTTATTGCCCCCCCCACTCCGTCACGACCTCCTGCACGTCGTGCCCCCCTCGCCCCCTCCGTCTTCTGCTCGGGTCAAAGGTCACAAGTGTTTACCTGCCATGTTTTACTTTCAGTTATTGGTTTGTGTCCAGGAATCAATGCTGGTATAGTTAAAGTAACAGTTGCTCTAATTCAACATATTTGTTCTCAAGTAAAAGTGAAAATGATCCATTAGTTACTATTTAAATCTTCAGATGAACCAGAATGAAAAGTTAAGTGGAAATTTTGGTATTTTAAGAACCAAAATGACAATAATTCATATGTGACAAAAATAACAACAAAATCAGAAAAAAGAAAATGTTTCTAAATCAGTTTTATTACAAAACTTGAACACAAACTGAGTCTGGATGATTTTCAGTTAAAACATGTTTGATTTTCATTCTGTGGGTAAAAAATACAGAAATTTGACTCCAGAGCAAAAAAATACTTTAAACCAAAAAGTAAAAGCAAAAAGTGAAAATGCTCAGAAAAACTCATTTTTTCAATGACTTGAATAAATATAACCAGTTACTAAACGGTTCAGTAATTATTACATTCATTTAGCATTAATTCTGACCTCCTGACTCTGGAGGGAAATTTAATATCAGATTTTATATTCTGACTTTTTAACCAAATATTATTTTTGTTCAAGTGAACTCTGTGTTTTTTTATGGAAAATATGTAATAATTCATGTTGATCACATTAAATATTATTTCAGTTTCAGAAGCAAAGTTGAATTTAACTGGAAGCTCATCAGAAATAACATTTAAATAAATGATTTTAACACATTTTATATTTTATAAAAGATTGAAAAACAGAAAACAAAAATTATGATGACATTTTTAAGATTAAAAAATATTTGGGATTTATTTTTATGTTATTTTTGACCTATTTTCTAATCATTAGAGCTCACTGAGCCCTGCACAGCGCCCCCTGGCGGCCTCCACTGACAACCACAGGCTACTGTGGTGATCAGTTATTGATCAGTTCAATAAATTCTGCCATTTATCAGAACTTTGATCAGGTGTTTAAATTCAGTTTCGCATTTATACAGAAAATAATCATCAAGATCTATGGAGCAAAATTAGTGCCGCTTTAAAAAAATCAATAGTCATAATTTTTTCATTATGACTTTAATCTCATAATTTTGACCCAGAATTTGTATTTTTGTCCCAGTGGCTCTAATCCTTTTCCGTAGAAATCAAAGTTCCCACAGATTGATCGAGAGTTAAATATATTTATACTCCAGTAAAACTTTGGCATGAAGTTACTCAAGTACTGAGTAACTGATCAAACTATAAATCATTTAATATTTTAAAATTAAGTCATGAGTTGGACAAAAATATGTTACTTATGTGAATATAAAATACCAAAATTTCAACTTAATTTCATAAATACAAAATAAAAAATAAAAATCAGGCAAAATGTATATTTTTCCAAATCAATTTTTTTCTGTGTAAAACCTGTGAAGCTAATTCTTCATGTTTACCTTCCAGATCATCTGAGTTTTTTACTTAATCAGAAACATCATGGAGAAACTGCAGCCTGCAAACCAACCTCTGTGCAGCTGGCGCCCCCTGCTGGCCGCGCATCCACATGGCGACATGGAGGCGGAGAGCTACGGAGCGTCATCAGTGCCATACGGTTTGTTCAGAGGAGCGGAAAAAAACCAAGGTATTTCAAACATTTTGAAGCTGAAAAGAACAAAAAAAAATTAAAACTGAAATATTGATGTGAAAAAAAAATGTTCAAAGCTACTTTTTCAGATTCAGATAAAATCTTTAATTCAGTTTCAAACTTTTTATCATTTTCAAAAATATTTTTTCAAATCTTTCTTTTATTCCAAATTTTCTTTAGATTTCAAGTCACTTTTGATTCAAATATTTTTATGGTGCTTTTTGTATCCAGTCAAGATTTTTCTGTTTGTTTTGCAATAAAAAGCTGGAAACTTTCTCATAGAGGTGAAACAAAATATCATTTTTTCATGATTTTCTGATTTTTGGAAAATCAAGATTAGAAAATGCAGTACAGTGCTGAGTTGCAGTGATCCATTCCAACCAGCAGGTGGCAGCATAACGTCAAGAATCGACCTGGAATCTGTTCGCTGCTCAGTTCAGTGAAGGAGTTTAAACTTCTGCTCAGTTTTGATCGAGTCGATTTGAATCAAATCAGTTTAATTTTCAGTTTTCTGCAGATGATGACTCAGCATTATTCTAAACATGACAGGAAGGGAACAAGATCAACTTCCTGCTGCTTCCCAGGCTGAATAAACTTCTGTTATTGTTGAAAGATGGAAAATCAGAATAAAAGATTAAATTGTTAAACTGATTTACATGATGAAGGCAAAGAGCTTAAAACTAGAAAACTATGTAGCTAATATTCTATCACAACCGATAATGAGGCTGAAATGATTAATCATTATGAACTAATTATTGAAATAGTCAAATAATTAGGTAATAACTGGTTATACACTCAAAAAAGGCAACACAGAGCATCAATTAAGACAAAAACATATTTTGTATTGGAGATTAAAAAAAAACCTTAATTGTGATTAATGTAATTTTGTTTTCACAAAAATCCACTTTGAATTCACTAAATGAGAACCTCAGCCCTTGTGCAGTCAAAAAAATAAAGAGAAAGTTAATTGTTTTATTTGCATCATTTAATGTGTTTTTGATATTGCTTAAGTAAAAAATATGACGACTTCTTTATCCGATTAATCAATTAATCACCAGAACAATCGATCACCAACATGATCATTTAGTGGGAAAATCTTCAGACATTTTAAGTGAAGAATCTGAGGAACATTTTCAGGAAAACGAAACCAGACTAATCGACTGATCTGGTTTTATATTTGATTAAAACCAAATTTATACAAATTAACCTGAAAATCTTAACATTGCAAAATGAACAGATCGATGCCGTTTTAGTGCAAATACTTTTACAATTGAAATACGACAAAATTAACTTAGAAGTAACTTTTCTGCATCCACAATTTCTTAATATTGATGACAAAGTTCAACAGATGAAAATTTATTGGTTAGATTTGGTTTTTTGCAAAAAACCCTTATTTATGTTATTTAATGAGAATTTTCATCTTTTTTGAATCATTTCTGAAGGTCTTTGCTGAATCTGAGCCTGAAAATCTTCACAATCTGCAGAATAAAAGGTTTAAAAAAATGTATCTAAATAATTTGTGTTGGAGCTGCAAGTAAAAATACTCGATTACTTCCAGTGTGAGAGTTCTGCACACTGATTGGCCGACGGCGGCGCGTTTCCTGGGCGGCGTGCCAAGCTCAACTGGCCTCCAAGCGCTCCGGCCGACCTCATAATGAGATAATGATAACAATATGGCTGAACTGCGGCGCGCTGGAGCGCTGCCACCTTCCCGCTTCTCGCGCAGCGTTCAGGTTTCTCTGTGTGTTCAGGTTTCTCTGTGTGTTCAGGTTTCTCTGTGTTCAGGTTTCTCTGTCTGACTGAGCGGCTGCAGCGGGAAACTCTGAGGAAGATCTGCAGGTGTGAAACGTCTCCACAGTTCAGTGGTGAGTTCAGAGGAAAAACCTTCCTGTTCCTTTAAGATTCATTCAGTTTCTTTCCAGCAGCTGCTTTTTGTTTATTGGTCTAAATGTTCCATTTTAATGTTCAAACTGAGCTTCTCTCTGTTCGTTTGTGTTCAGTTTGTCATTTGTTAACATTTTAAAGTTAACAGTAAATTTTTTTTCATCTAATATTTTGTTCATATTTATAAACTTTGTTTTGCCTAAAAATAGTAATCTATTCTTATTCATGACAATTTTTAAACTTCCAAAATTTTGTTGCTTTATAATTCTAAACTTTTTTTTTTTACCTAAAAATGTAGTTCATATTTATAAACTTCTTTAGATTCAAATATTTGCTTAGCAATGTTTGAAATGCATCTAAATATATTTACCTTAGTTGATCTGGAGTTTTTTCACTGGATTTTTTTGTCTGTATTTTTACAGTTATGGTACAAAAACATAGAGCTTCGTTTTATTTGGGATCTTTTTGAACTTATTGCAGTTACACGTCAATTTTTTAATGTAAAATTTTTGTATCAAAATAAGAAATGCTTATCTTAAACAGTAGCTAATTATCCTAGAAAATTAAAAATTAATCCAGGAAATTTTCACAATTTTATAGATACAATAAAAACAAATTTACTTTAAAAATTTTGTAAAAGAATAAAAATGAAAACTTCAATATTTAGAAGCTAAACGTCTCACAGTTTCAGGTTTAATGAGAAAATATTTCATGTTGTAACCAGGAACATTTAAAGGAACAGTTTGGACTTTTCCTTAAATTAACATAATTTAATTTAACAGATTAATATCTGTTATGTTTAAAAATCTCCCGTCAGGGTTAAAAATTATTAAAATATTTTCATACTTTGCTCTAATTTCAATTACAAATCAGTTTATATGAAATAATTCAGACAAAGCTTATTGAGTGGAACTTAAATCTTCTTTTTAATAGCAGTGACTTTTTATCAAACACAGGTTCATATCGTAACATTTTCTCTCTGAAATATAATTTATTTCTCCTGCTCATGCAGCGCAGGCTAACAAAAGGAGGCCTGTGACCTCTGACCTCTCCGGAGCCAATCAGATAAATGCTTTAACTTTACAACAGGACTTTATAAGCATCCAATAAGAAAATATAAAAAAACGGATTTTTTTTGTCTTTGAAAGAATAGAATATGGAGACATTTTGATGTAGAAAAACATTTCCTTCTTGAATACACTTAGCTTTATTTTCTGTAACTATTCCTCTTCTTTTATGTTTAGTGCCACAAAAAAACTAAATTCATTCACACGAAATCATCGTTAACATGGCAACAGAACCCACTGAACCAGAACCAGCAACAGAACCAGAACTCACAGGACTACAGCGACCAGAATGCATCGTGATTCAGGCAGGAACCAAACAGGAACTAAAACAACAGCAAACATCAGACTTTACATCGTGTGATAATCTCCTGGGTTTCAAAACAACATGGCGAAAGGAAACGTCCGTTCTGGAAACGTTTTCGCCCGTCTTCCGTCACAGTGCCGCCGTTTGAGATACTGCATTTCCCAGCATGCCCCTGGCTCCTCCGCTCACAAGGACACGCCTCCCTCCATCGGGATGGAAGGACGTCATGAGGTGATGAAGACAACACAAAGTTTGGGGTTTTTCTGATGAAAGGCGCCACCACAAGGTGGCGCTGTTTCGCAGTCATTAAAAATTCAGCACCAGTGGGGGAGGGGGAGAAAAAGGCCATTTATATATTTGTACATTTGTATTTTTCGCAGGACATTCGGTTTTACTTTTTATTTACAACAAAACGACAAAATTTAGAAAATAAGAAGGAAGCTCCGCCCCTTTAAATCATCCACCAGCCCAAACCCGACTCCAAAGAAGCATCCAATAAAAAAGTTTAGCAAGTCTTTGGCAGGTTTTCAGGAAGGAAAGGCGTCGGGGCGTTGGCTGCTGCTGGGCCGGACGGTTTATAATCCGATTATTAACGATGAAGATCACAGTCAGAGCTGAGCCACAACATCCACAAACACAGTTCACCAAGTCTGAGGACGTTTAGACGCATCGCAAGCAGCACCATCGCAAAACTGCAATGGAAACGTTTATCACATCATAAGAGTCACTTGATCAACAACTGGATGTTGCTACTGGAGGAAACGACAAAGAAGACGACAGGAAGTGTCCATTTAATGGAAACGCTGCAATTTTGAAGAAGGGTTTGTCAATGTTGGCAGAATATCGACGTTTTGCTGACATTTGTAGTGAAAATGCAGCTAAACTGGAAACTGGCCTTAAAATTGTGCAAATTGGAATCAAGAAAATTAATTTGCTTCATTGGAAACATCAATTTCTAAAAAAAAACTCCAGTTTTATGCGCCAAGGTGAGGTTGTTTTTCTGCTGTATCAAAATTAATGTGTTTCACAAAACTGCAATGGAAACCTTTCTTCGCATCACTCGGGCCACATGTTACTACTGGCGGAAATGACAAAGAAGATGACAGGAAGTGTCCGTTTAATGAAATGTTGAAAGTTTTTCAACATTAGCAGAATATCAACGTTTTGCTGACATATGTAATGAAAACAGTTATTGAGAGTAACACACCTTTCAGCCCGTTATGTCTGACTGATGTGACTCATGAATATTTGAGTAACTTTGTGGTTTTTGCATTGATTTTGTTGCCGGTGGAAACTGTCTCGCTGCGACCATCGGTGATTGAAACATGGCCGCCTCTGGGTGGAGCCTTCCCCTCTTCATGCAGACAGATGAAGTTCCCAGTGATGAAAGCTGCAGATGGTTTCAGTCTCTGATGAGTTTCTCAGGCTGAAGCTGGACTCCACTGACCAACAAGCTGCACAGGTAGAACTGAACTCCTTTCATTCACAAGGGATCCAAAAATAACTCATTTATCTAAATAACTACTCATCGTTCATTTAAACATTGCTTCAATTGATCTCTTATTGCTGTAATTTTTAATTATTGCAGATTGAAACTAAAAGATTTCATGGAACAGGGAGAAACTTCAGTATTTTGGTGAAGTTTTCCAGACATGTTGACAGTTTGCTAAAGCGGCAGTGTTTAATGTGGCCACCAGATGGCACTGTTCATTGTTAATGAAACCTTTAAACTATTTTTATCTGTCATATTTATAAGGAAATTAACATGTCTAGTTTAAAAAATGCTATTTTTTATTAATTCACAAATTTATTACAATCAAAAAAAATATTTTGAAGCATAATTACATTTTATTTGTGAAACAAAAGTATTATTTTGGGAGAGATTTCAACATAGAAAGTGTGAATTTGGTTAAATTTTCCTCAAAGTTCGGGTAAATAAATGAAGTTTCCATTTAAAAACCACAGACTAGTTGGAGAGAGTTTGACTTTCTCATTACAGGTGACCTAGAACAGGTGAGGACAGACCTATGGATAAAATAAAATATGTTCTTCACATTTCCTGCACAAAATCATATTTAGAGGATGAGATTTTACCTGTCTTGTCTCTTTAAATCCAAATAAGCTGCCGCTGGCCACGCCCCCAACTGTTGCATGTGAGAATGACTGCAGAATTATACAACTGTACATCTTTGAAAAGCAGAAGTGGAGCCTCCTGCACAACCAACTAAAATGCATCAAGTGGCTTCTGGATGGTAAGTCAACAACAAAACACTCTTTTCCAGCAGCCATTGTACAGCGCTACCCTCAGCTGGAGTTCCCTTTGGGTTGCTAGGTAACGGGCGTAGCTCAGCTGGGGTTGCTAGGTAACGTTCCAGAGGTTTTTGAAACGACTTGTTTTCTAGACACCAAAAAACATAAATTTATTGCCAGAAAAACTCCTGGCTGATTTTTTAAATGCTTAAAATTGTTTGTAGGAATTGTTGAGACTCAAATGGAAGCATTAAAACGTGCAAAATGTGAATTTTACGTAATAGAAGCTCGTTAAGGTTTCAGTAAGATTTAGTTAGTCTTAATGGAAAAGAGTGAAACATGTCGACGTTTCAAACCGTTTTGTTTCAGGTGAGCAACAGCTGGCATGGCCTTAGCGAGGCTTCAAGATCAGACGTACAAAACTTTGGCTTCAACTTGAAAATGAACAAAATGAGATTTTAAAGAATGAACGGATTTTTTTAAACACGTTTCCTGAAATGCATGAATTCCAGCCAGCTGTGAACATGGAGGTCAGTGGAGCCTCAGCGCTCAGATCTGAAACAGAGTTTTTGCTTTTTTAACAGAAAAGTTTCCAGAAACTCCAGACGCAGCTCCTCCCGCTGCCGGTCTCCGCCTCCTCATCCACGTCCAGGAAAAGGTCAGAGGTCAGGGAGCGGGAGCTGCGCCCGCTTCCCAAATGTGTCCCGGCCGCAGCGGGAGGGAGAGGAGGAGGTGCTACGAGGAGGCGAGGAGCAGGATGAGGAGGAGGGAGAGCAACATGGCGGACGGCAGAGCCGGGCTGCCGCCGCCGGTGGTGTCGTCCGTCAGGAAGGGCTCTGGAGATTCATAGATGGAGTCGTCTGAAAGAAAAACATTTAAACTGATGATGCACTCTGATACCGATGCTCTCTGAGCTCCAGTATCGGCTGATCCAATACAGAAAGAGCTGAACCGACTCAAAACGCTTCGTTTTTCGTTTATTCATAACTCAATACAGTAAAAACAACAAGCAGCTGCAGCATCGCTCAGAGACGACCGAGCAAACTGTGTTTTCACAGGTTCTGGTTCTGGTTCGTTTTATAAAACCAACCCGAGCCGGACAGAACCGAGCCTGGCAGAACCGAGCCTGGCAGAACCGAGCCGGACAGAACCGAGCCGGGCAGAACCGAGCCTGGCAGAACCGAGCCGGGCAGAACCGAGCCTGGCAGAACCGAGCCGGGCAGAACCGAGCCGGGCAGAACCGAGCCGGACAGAACCGAGCCGGGCAGAACCGAGCCTGGGTGCCGTCAGGTGGGTCTGTGCAGCTGTGCATGTTGAGCAGCAGAGTGACTGACAGGCCCAGCCGGCGCCGCTCTAGTGTTGGTCTCAGTAATGAGTCTTTCAGCTCATCTGCTCCACAAAGCGGAGATGAGAATCAGTTGAGAATCAGTTGAGCATCGTCCAGCGGAGGAGAGAGCGCCCCCTACTGCAGGAGCAGCAAGTGTTTCACACAAACACGCTTCTAACGGCCCAAATTCACACCAGATGTCGGAACAACCCCAGTGATCCTCTTCACGTGTGAATCAGGGAAAACGATACGCGGTAAGTACTGATGTTTCAGTCAATACTCTGAAAAGCCTCGGTTGGTAGAAACAGCTTCAAGATGTGGAGAAACCAGTTTAAATCTTTGTTGGGTTTGATTTCATCTTCATTTTGACACAATTAACGGTTCTGGAACGTTTGCAATGGATTCTCTTTATATATTTATAGATTTGCTCAGCTGGGATATTTGACAGTTTAGTCGGCAAACAGCAAACAATAAGGCTGGATAATAAACCAATAACGATACATATCGCAATAAATATCGATAGGTATAGAATATTCAATATGTAGAATATTCTCTGAACTCTGACCCAGAGCTGCACAGCATTCTGGGAGATGTAGGAAAGGCTTCACAGCTAGATAAAAACTAGCTAGGTGATATGCTTAAAATAAGACAAAACTAACAAATCACTTTCCATATGGGAGATTATTTAAGTCAATAATTCATTAATATTGATTATTTCACTTCCATCATGATAAAAATGTTCCTGTACATTTGAACAAATATTTTTTCAGCAGAGCTCATTTCACATGAAATTTCTTTATTATTTATGAGTTTTATGTTTTCAGCCTGAGGAACGTTAGAACGCCTGACCCAGTACAAACTGGTTTCATCCCAGTTTGGTTGAAATGTCTTCAAATGAAACAAAATTGGTGCCAAAAGTTTGATGTGATTCTGATTTTAAAGATACTAATCAATATTTCTAGAGGTCATTAAAGGTCAGGCTCTCTACATTTACAAACACAAAACACATTTGGTGTCTATGGAAGAATATTAGAGCCAATACAAAGAACAAATAAAAAAGTTGATTTTATTCCCTCAAAATTTTGACTTTAATCTCAGAATTATGAGATCAATCATTGTTGAAGGCAGACAGGCTGTCTGACTTTAGTTGGTGTGTTAATGCAGCAGCTGTTTATGGAGCTAAATTGCAGCCACAAATTTTGTTCAACAGAACAAAATGAAACTGACAAAAATGAAAATTAAAAATTATTTTGAAACTGAAAAAAAAAGAATCTGAAAAGTAGTTTTGAACTTTTTTGAATTTTTTTTTTAGTTTTAACTTTTTGGCCACAGTTTTGCTCCATAGCTATTTACTGAAGCATGAAAATGAATTAAGTCTGTCAAGTTTAGGTTCAAATTTCTTTAGAAATGATTGTTTCATTATAAACTATGTGAATAATAAAAGCCTGGTGACCATGAAGTGCTGAATGAATCCTTTTTAATTCGTGGGTTTTGTTTCGGACTCGCTGTTTTTAGCCTTTCAGCTCCTGCAGGATCAGATCTGGACCTTTTGAACATGAAGTCAAAGGTTAAAAACGACTCACTGCTCGGTTTGACGTAGATCTTCAGCTTCAGGCACGGCTTCCCAGCCAGGTTGGGATGTGGAGACGCTGCAGAGGAAACACAAAGGAAACCAGTTTGAAGCCTCCACATCATAATGGAAACCAGTTTAAAACAGCAAAACAACAAAAGCGCCATATATGGGCGTTCCTGAGCTTCAGTCGTTTTTTTTTAAATTCATGAATTCATGGTGAATTTTTAAAGTGCTCAGAATTTAAATGTGAGAAAACAGGGGAAGGAAACAAGGAAGGAAACAAGGAAGCGTCCCGGCTCATCACCCCTCCACTGCCGTGCTTCAGCCTCAGTGTGTTTCTGCCCACATCTCCCCGTGCTTTTCCCCACAGCAGCGTTTCTGATCTTGGGATAATTTGGTTTTCTGGTAGCTGAGCTGAATTTAATCCAGATGAATAAATGAATTTATAAAACGGTTTTGAATGAAACTGCAGATTCAGATTCTTTGTTCTGCTGTTTGACGTTGAGCGAGACTCAGAGAGATGATGTTTTATTCATGTTTCTGCTTATTTCACTCAGAGTCATTAAGTGTCATTTGGAGCGAGCGGCGGTTCTGAGCCTTTCAGTCCAAACGGGACAATTTAGGAAAATTATTTAGGAAAATGTAGGAAATGTTTTCCAGCTTGGAGGATAAATTACGTCCAGAAGCGTCAGAATTGCAGTGAGTTTCTGACAGTTCTGACCCGATCCAGTGAACCCGGCGCGTTCAGACGGCGATCCAATCGACAGGAAATAACGGCTTCATGTTGGATAATTAAATAATTCACAAAGTGAATCAATCAGCTGGTTCTGGTCGATCCAGTTTATCAGTAAGTAGAAAAAGAAAGTGAATCCTCTCTTTCATTAAAGAAGAAGCCCAGATGGGAAAACTGTGTGGAAAAGTAAGTACACCCCAACAGGGAACGAGGAAAGGAAACTCACCAAAAGCTGAAAAAAAAAGCTATTCCCAAAATCTGGTCAGAATAAATTAAAAATTTGCTTAAGAGAATCAGCTGCGGTTTTCAGCGGTCCAGTCAAAGCCCAGACCTGCAGCTGCCCTCCGGTGACCTTCAGGTACTCACAGATGTAGTAGTACTCGTGTCCCGGCCGGAACTCGAAGCCCAGGCTGAAGGGCGTGAAGAGCTGGAACTTCTCGGAGAACTTGAGCGGCCCGTTTGGGCTCTGCGGCCGGTTGCACTCCCAGCGCTTGAAGCCGTTGCGATAGTGGCTGCAGCTCATGTAGCCGTCGTAGTTCACCATGTACAGGATGTAGTGCTCCATGCGCTCCGCCGGCTCCGGCGCCTCGTAGTGCGGGCAGTAGATGTCCAGGTAGTCGTTGATCGCCACCTCCACCGTGTAGTCGCCCCGGAAGAACCTGGAGGGAAAACGGACGTTTCACGTTCAGCCGCAAATCCTTCAACAGGCCGGGAAACGTCTGGGGCGTCCAAACAGCAACTCGCCGACTCCACAGCCAGAAAACAAAACCTACTTTAAAAACTAAAATCAAAACGTTTTCAAGAGAATTTGTTTCCGGCTCAACAATAAATTGAGCATGAAATATTTACAAAATAGTTAGATTTTTTTTTTACAGTGATGAAAGGTGTAAAGCATCATGAAGCCAAAATTACTTTGTGAGATTTTTGTATTTTAGAGCCTCATGTGGAGCCAACAAGAAAACAACATGGACGGGAAGTCAACAGCAAAACACTTTGTCTTTTCCAGCAGCCATTGTACAACGCAGACAGAACCACACCGTCCTGGAGCTCGGCTGCTAGCGGCTGCTAGCTAACCACAAAGGAAGGTTTCTGAAGCAGCTCGTTTACAAAAATGTCACAAAAATAAAGTGAAATATATTATATATTTATTTTTGACATTTTTTCCTTTGATCAGGTCTTAAAAAAGAGAGAAGAAAAAAGTGAAGGACAAAAAGGGAATAAAAGTCAACTGGGAAAAAGAAGCAAAAAGGAGTTTGTGATGTTAAAATGTTTTTTTCCTTCCTAAAAGAAGAAGAAGAAGAAAATAAGGGAAAGAAAAAGCTGAAAAGTTTGATTTTTTCATGTAAAATGTTTCTTCTAACAAGACAGAACAGAAAACAATAAAAAATTACAATTTCTGTACACTTTTTAATTTTTTTATTCCAAAGGATACAAGAAAAACTGCAGAAAACTAAACAAGAAGGAAAAAATAAAGTTTTTCCTAGCAGAGCATCGATGATCTGAGGTTCATCAAGTTAAATTTGCTGATTTTAAGGTCAAGCTGAATAATTATTGGTTGGACCAGAAACTGATTATTTAATCAATCACTTTTAGTCCTGCTAAACAACCTGTGATCTAACGCAACGAGAACCGTAACGGCGACTTCCTGCTTTCATGTTTTACTGTTTCCTGAAAATAAAAACACACACTGAAACATTTCAGGTCTGCAGCAGCTTCATGTTTCTAACATGAGCCTGCAGACGACATGAAAGCAGAAAAAAACTTTCTGAGTCCAGGTTAATCCATCCCAGAGCTCAGCGCACACAGCTCCAAACTGCACACATGGAAACAATTGATCAGCGGCCGGCTGTGTGTGCATGTTTCCCCGAGAGGCAGCGATTAATCAGAGCGCGCCGTTTATCAGAGCGATTTGCTGTTTACAGATGGGAGACGCGGCTACCAGCTGGACCCGCTTCCTGCCGGCGCCGGCCGCTCAGAACCGCTCAGAGGAGGCGGGAAAACTCCAGGAGATAAAAGAAATGAAACAAAATGAAACGGATGCAAACAGCAGCAGACACCAAAAACCCGTCACTCAGCAGAAACGGTTAAATTTCACTATGACAAACAGACAGATGAAAACAAAACACCAATAAATAAAGACGAGACCAAAGCTTCACTATAACCAGTTAGTTTCCTCCATTTTCTCCCCACACACTTCATGAGCAGGTCAAAGGTCAAACTCAGGAGAAAACCTGAAGTGTCCCTGATGAAACACCTGACAGGAATCCGTCCTGCCGGTTCCTCTGGAGGCTTCGCCTCAGACGCATCAACATGTAATGACTGCAGGCTGAAACCTCCAGAGACAGAAACTAATGAGGCTGGAAAACTGGAACTCCACCCATCTGGGATTCCAGGTGAGGAAAAGGAGCGCTCCCTCGGCGCGGTGCCGGTCCCTGCAGACGACGGGAGGCGGCGGCGGTTTCATTACCGTAACCTTAAACCGAGTCTTCACCTGGAAGTGTTGCAGCTCTGAGCTGGAGCTTCGCCTCGTTCCCCTGCTGCGGCCCGGAAAACCCGGTTCCAGTCCGCAGAACTTAAATCTCAGGCCAGCTAAACATGTTCCAAACCCAGATTTCCTGTTTGAGCTCGAGAGGAGGCAGTTTTACACGGCCTGCATTTCCTAAATCATTCCCCTGCTGGTAATAAGGTCTGAAAACTAATTCAGCACCACAGCTTCCTCCTCACCGACACATAAATCTGAGCTTTTTATGCAATCAGAGAACAAAAACTCTTCAAATATACGGAGAGGTCAACCTTTACAGAGCACCTTGTTATGAACGGGGAGTTTCCACACAAATAAATCCCAACTTAAACAGGAATCAGAGTAAATCACTGAATAAATGTAGTTTTTACCTTTTCAGAAATGTGAGATCCTGCAATAAAAAATTCATTTATGGGTTTAAAAAAAGTGCCAAAAATCACTTTTAGCTGATAAATTGTTGGTAAATTTTCATTTTACTAAACTGGGAGATTCAGTTTTCTTAATCACAAATATAAAGGTTTATTTATTATCCTTTTTTGAATAAAGAGACATAAATACATTTTTCCTCTGTATGAAGTTAAATCAGACCAAACTTTTTTTGTTTTAGTTTAATTAAAATTATCTGAATTATTTCTAAATGTTTGACTCATCATACAGTTTGAACTGACAAAATGTTTGCAAACTTTCCAATTTGAGTAAAAATACAAAAAAATCTTAAATAAATTCTTCTGCCCTTCAACAAACAGAAATAAATTTTATCATTTCATTTCAAAACCTTTTCGATGCTAAAGTACTGAATAAATGGTCAGAAACAGAGATTTATTGTTTTTCATCAGCTTCATTCATCAAACCACTTTAGAAACGTGAACGCTGACATTAGCATTAGCATCATGTTTAGCATCCAGGATATTTGATTAGCTTTGCTGATTGGCTAACTCCTTTAGCACGACACGTTGATCGTCTCTTCCAGTCCCATCATGTTGTCCTCGCCTGTGCGTCAGATTTACAGTCGTACCAGAAACACAATCCTGAAGTTCCAGGCGTAATTTTTAACGCTTTAAAATCTCTGTAATTAAATAACCTAAATAAACCCGCTTAGACATTTTGGACACACAAATTTTTTTTTCTTTTTTGTAAATATATATATATATATATATATATATATATATATATATATATATATATATATATATATATATATATATATATATATATATATATATATATATATATATAAAGTTTTTATTATTATTATTTTTTTTTTTTTACAAAAAGACGATAAGGTTGTATTAGAGCAAAGATGCCTGGTTCCAGTCAGACGGTCCTGGGGAAGAACTTTCTGTTTGGTTTGGATCAGAACCGGGCCGAGGACGGCACCCTGCGGAGCGCCAGTGCTGATGGCTGATGAGCAGAACGAGATTATAAATGAACTCTGATGTTTTAATGCTCCAGTGAGGAAGTTTCAGGTTGTCTTCCTGGTTCTGACCCAGTGGGATAAAGTCCAGGTGAAGCCCGATTTGTTCTGACCCGGGTTCCTGCAAACTGGTGAAACATGGTGAGACGTTCATGTTTCGATGTTCTGGTTTATTTCATTCATCTAAATGGTTTTCAGTTTGACAGAGACGTGGAATCTGGAGGATCCGTGACAAACTGCAGAGAAACTTTAAACTTTTAAAGTGATTTTGTTTCCTGATTTCTCCTCACAGCTGCTGCACTGTTGATGTATAATTAGCATAATTTAGCACAAAGACACAGATTTTTTTACTCTGACAGATGCAACAATCGATCTCACCAAAGCAAACTAATCAAACTTCACGTCTCTTTGAATATTCACGACGTTCAGGAAAAATCGACGGCGCCGTTAAAGTTGCTGAAGCAGCAGAGGAGGGAGTGGAGGCCGTCCAATTAACGGGGCCAATTCAGTCCAATTAACGGGGCCAATTCAGATTTTGGTAATGAGGTTTTCCTCGCGCTGATTTGGTTTGTTTTGGTCGGTCCTGATTAGCTGGTTAATCACAGCTTGTTTCAGATTCAGCTCGAGCGACGTGGAACCAAAAAATGAACCGTTAGATTTATACATTTTGACATGTCTGTGATGAAATCATCGTTTATTGACATCAAATTAAACACCTATTAAATCACTTTGATTGTGCTGCTAACTACAGAAACTTTAAGGTTTGGTTACATCAATCCAAACTCCAGAAAACTTTCTTTTTTTTATTGAAGGCTCAACAGATGAAAGAAAATATGTAATTATTAATTAAAGGAGAACTGAAAAGTGTTTTTAAGCTAACATCAGGTGAAGGAAAATCATAAAATATGCTTGGAAATATGTTGAAAAGCCTCTCAGTTATTCTCAACATTTTCCAAAAGATAAAAAAGAAGAAAAAAAATCAAGCCTAACTGGAAAATGACTTATAAAAATAAACTTATAAAATAAAGGCAAACAGAGAGAATGAGGTTTTTATTATTTCAAGCAGGAATGCGTTTGTGTCAGACAGCTGTGCATGTAATTATCAGATTATTAGTTTTAACGAAGCAATAAATCCACAATTTGTACAGTAATGATTGTAACTGCTAAAAAGGTAGGAAGTAGACTGCAGCGCAGGGCATTCTGGGTAAATACAACCAAATCAATGGTGTAATGCTAACGCTAGCAGGAGAAAACGCTCATGATTTATCAGCAAAGACTAAAGAGAACGAAAATCTGACGTCTCATTTAGTTTCCATCTGGTGAAGAAGGAAGTTGGTCTCAGTGTCTTCAGAGGATTTTGATTTGTTTCCTTCAGTGGTTTGTGATGCAGCGCCCCCTCAGGCCAGGAGGGGAACAGGTTGGTTGACTCAGCAGAAAGAGAAAGAACCACAAATGATGTAATTTTGGAGTTTATCAAACTATCAGGGGGGAAAAAGGCCTTAAAAATCCTCCAGAATATCGGTGAAAGGAAAATGGCAAAACAGCTTTAGGGAGTCTGAAAACTTGTTGGTCAAGAAAGTTTGATTCCTTGACATGAAAACATCAAGAATCATAAGATTTAAAACTTCTGCCCAATAACTTTAGGAAATTCCTGGAAGTTCAGCACCTTGACAAACACAGAGGAGTTATTCTACGATCCAAACGGTTCCCTTAAAACCGCATCATCATAAAAACACTTTGACTTCAGAGTTCCTCGCTGCTGATTATTCCCATCTGACCTGAATGCAGCATCAGTGCTGCCCTGATTGAGTTTGGGTTGCTGGATGAGAGCAGCTGGAGCATCACAGAAGACGCATCCTGCTGAATGAAAACGATCCCGATGATGAGACAGGACAGCGAGATGCTTCTCTCCTCCGCTTCGCCCTCTTTGTCTTTTCTAACACCATTAGCAAAGTGCATGCTAACTTGGTTAGCTGAAGGATCGGGTGACGCTAACAGCTGGGAGTGGAGGCGATGCGTTCACTGAACTCTGTCCCCCTCGGTTCTCACATCATTACTCATCACTCTAATGGACCGAGGCTCTCTGTCCGTCTCAGCTGGGTGACCAGGGTCACCACCTCCATCAGCATTAGCATCATCCTTAGAGGACCAGAGATTGGCTGACTAATTGATTGAAAGACTGACGGAGGAGTCAGGAAATTAAGTTTAAAACCAGAGAAGAATCAGCAAAAGCAGCAGAAAACAAAATGTCTGGAGTTGAAGCAGAAGGAACAAAGTACCAAACTCTGCAGACTGAGGCCCAAAACTTCTC